GGACCCATTACTCCTGTGGGATTGAAATTTGGGAAGTTTGTGGCTACTTCAGCAATGCCCTGCAGTAGGCAGCCCAAGACACAAGATTGTCATGGGCATATTCCTGACCTCTTTCCCACCTTCCTCTGTCCCCTGCACCCAGTCAGCTGGCGGCAAGGCCCAACAGGCGAGTGGCGATTGGCTGCTTTGAAAATGAGGCAGAAATTTGAAATCTCTTAACAGTGGTTGGCATTGAGGGAAGGATGAGGGAGCAACTTGGATGCCTGCTGGAGATAGGGCTGGCTGGGGGGTGCCGGTGGTCAATGAGTGAGCCCTCTTCCTCCTTCCAGGGAGGGGTCCCTTGGGGACACACCAGAATGAGGAGCAGGGGTGCAGTTTTCCTCATGGTCCACAGCTCCCCTTGTTCCATCTCCCCCCAGCAAAGTGGCAGGCAGTCCTCCTCAGGTCAGTTGAGGAGAAGGAGGAGGCTTCACCACGGCTGTCGTGAGGGAAGGGCAAATGGCACAAATCTATATTATATATGAGAGGGAGGGAGAGAGAGAGGGAGGGAGATTTCTGACACTCCCTGCCAGCTTCCCACAAGTAAAGTTAATGGGGAAGCCAGCAGCAAGTCACTCCCACTCCCACTGCTTTTTTGCCCCTGGTCATACTGTTTCTCTGTTTAGGTCAGGAAATATCTCTGAAATGATGACCCAACAAGTCATGGGTTGTCTAGTAATACTACAAAATATACAGCTGTTGAGATTATATGGGATATTAAGGCAAAAAGCTTTTGGCTATTGGCCTATTTATCTTTCCCACTTAGACCTTGAATCCCATTAAGATGCTGAATCTGTTAATCTGATGAACATAAAACATATATCCAGTGGGATCAGACAATGATGACACTAAAATAATGATGATAATTATGATGCTATTCAATTAATGACAGAGAAACAGTGTCAAGGGAATAAAGATAATAGCGTTGGGCCACAGAAAGGGCTGAAAAGTTGCTCTCTGGGGCTCACAGTTCACTACTTTTAAAACAGAGCCTTTCTAAAAGCAGTTTGTAACAGCGCATAATAGGCTATCAAAAAAAGTACAATTATTGTAACTCTCTGGATCTTAACCAATACTTAACATTTCCATGCAAATCATCATTAGATGAACTGAGTGCTTTTGTATCTGGTTAATGGGATTCTCAGGTGTCTCACAGGAACTCTGTGTCAGTGTATAACAGATGGAGAATAAACAAACCTATGTTTATAACAATCTATGTACTGAGAATAGGGAGGCAAATGGGGAACTAATGAAAAATTGAAGTGGCAGAAATGAATCCAACTGTAGAAGTAAAAAAAAAATGGGGGCATTTCAATCAAAATTCTTTTCTGAACTTCTACTTAAAATAAATTGTATTTTGCAAACTGATATTGTTCTAAACTTTGCTTTCTATTATGAGCTGAAAATTCAGCAGCTACAACTAGTGTTAGCAAAAGAATATCTAGGTTGCAGTCCTATATACTTTTACCAGGAAGTAAGCATCACTGAACTCACTACAACCTACTTCTACATGTATACAGATTTGCAATGTAAACTTTAGTAAAAAGAGGCCTGTCACAATTACATATAGTTAATTCTACATGAGATGTTAGTTACATTACTGACTTTGTATTTATGAAACCAATGGTAGCAATACAAAACTGGAGAGTAAAAATTCTGACATTCCCTGAGTTCTGGCAGGCCCCTACCCTTCTGGCCTTCCAAAAAGCTTTGAAGACCCTAGATGTCCTTGAAATGCAACTCCCACTGGATATACTAACTAGGACTAATGGTAGATGGAATACAGCAAGTTCCCATCCCTTATATATCCCACTGATAGGTCTCTCTGTGTGTCATAGGTTGAACAGTAGCATGTAATATTGATTTAAATTGGGAATACAATGGGGAAGGGCCTTCCTCTTCCATCTTCTTTAGGGGATCCTATGCTATTTTAAGAAATAGATAGGAAATCCACTCTAGGTAAGAATAGTAGAAATGGGGAGAATGCAGCACTGTGCTCTGTAATACATCCCACCTTCCTAGAAGTGTTGCAGTTCTGCCATAAAAGCCAGATACTGGGCATGTTAGAGTACTTTAATGTAGACTATTGCAATCCCTTCCCTCTCCATAGCACATCTGGGATATAGTTTCCTTAGTCCTTATGAGACAATGGTCTGGATGCCATTCTGGAGATAAGCAGATTTCATTCTCTGTTAGGGCCTCTGTGTCACCCCAAAGCAGCTCATCTGTTCATTCAACAGTTTTTCCAGAACCAGTTGCCCAACAATTTTATTTCTGACTGTGGCCCAAAATTCAGATTGCCCTTTTGCTACTATTCCATTTTCCCCACATTAATATTCTATACACATTTTAACACTCGGGCAAAGGATTTAGACAGATGGTAAGCTAAAACTGATTACACCAAAGATGTGCATTAAATTTAATATGTCCAGGATGGCTACTTATTTCATATGATTGAAATTCCTCAAACAATTTGAGCTCCAGCTTAAATATCAAATGTCCATATTAGTAAGGCGGAACTAGTTGACAACAGAATTTTTCTTCCTTTTACAAAATAAAATCCTTACCAAGACAAAATGTGCTATTTGAAAACTGAGAAGTGAGAATAGAACTTATAGTGGAGAATCCCAATAGCTATCACTCACCATAGAATTGCCTTCCCTCTCACAGGCAATATGAAGAGATGTCCTCCCACCTCCCTCTGGGACAATAGTACATTCTTTGTAGTAACTTTTGGGTGGTCCAGTTTCATTATTCATTCTCATGAGAGATACTGATTCACCAATGTCAAACTAGAAGAAAGAGAAAAGGGAATCAGACACCACAATTAATCTCAAGGAGCCATAAATGTTGCTCCCTGTTACTTCCTACAAAGATAAATGGATGGTTGGGGATGGGAATTTTCTAGGGAATACGGCATTCTTCCCTTCAGTCCTGCTCTCCTGGCACATGATTTCAGCCTGTGTACCAAATACATTCCACACTCATGCCTGGCTTCTCTCAGCTATACTGCTTAACTGTTCTTAAGACATAGTAAACAGGGGTTTGCTACAGGTTAGAGTGCCATACATCCCATGTGCTGTGTTTATGTACACGTGAAGTTGCTTTATACCAAATCACATTAGTAGTTAATCTAACTCAGTGCAGCAACTACTTACCAGTGGCCTTTCACAATGGCAGTTTAAAGTTATTACCCAGTTATGCTATCTAGGAACCTCTTAATCATAGATGTTCATGGTCAAGTCTATTAACTGTCCTCTTGTAGGATCCAAGCAACCCAGAAAATGAAGTCAGTGAGATTTATGTTACAGAAACTGTATTTATATCTGTATTTTTGTTATTTTTGTTATCTTTAGTTATTATTACTTAATATTTTAATCCTATTGTGTAAGCTGCCTACAGCTACTTTGTGACTAAGGTAGCATACAAGTTGACAAACAACATAAATAAAAATATACATTTGAAATGGCCACACCTTCTAAATATGTATCATTGTAAACCCACTTTCTATTAGATTTTGTTTGTAAAATACTATTTCAGGATATGTCATACAATAATTGCATTATAATTTTTATTTTATATCACTTTGCTGTGTACAAGCAGTTTTGTTTTTTTCTTCTCTCCCCTACATAGATTACAATATTGGACAAGCCTACTACCATGGAACCTACTGCATGAAAATTGATGCTTGGAAGCAGAAATGATTCCCTGTGCCATTCTTATTACCAAGAGAATACTACTTCAAGGCTGGAAAGATAAGTTTATGGGCTAAATTTATAGGTATAAGAAGCCGCAATCTCCCTCTCTCTCCATCTCTCTCTCTCTCTATATATATATATACATGTTGTTGTTGTATTGCTTTTTGTCTACCAATTTTTCCTTCACTATTGTTTTATCTTTTTTTCTCTCTGTTCTGATTTATTAAATAAATAAATACCTTTACTGGGACCTCATCTAGCCGGTATACATCATTCTCATCTTCTGCCCTTACATCAGGGTCTGCAGCAGCATGAAGCAGCATTTCTGTGATTTCAATCCCTTCTATACCAGGAAGGGCAGCAGCAATATGAAGTGGAGCTACCCCCCCAAGCTAGGAAAAGAAATGTTACATTTACCCCCAAAGCAAAAGTCAAGTCACAAAAGCATCTCACCACTGTATGCTCTCAGTCCATTAAGTGCTCATTATGACAAAAAGGTATTCCAGCTTCCAAATGAGCATCTGCTCCATATCAGCTAAGTTTTTAGAACTAAAGATAATGAAAACTTAAGGAACATAATTACCCAATTCATTTACAGGTAGTCCTCAACTTATGACCATTCATTTAACAACCATTTAAAGTTACAACGGCACTGAAAAAAGTTATTTATTGTTGGACATTGCAAGATCTACACCTTTAATAGTATTAACCATGGTGATTGTTTTTGGCTGTGAATTATTAGAATCACCTGGCAAACCCTGTATAACAGAAGTGTCTTTCCTCTTATTCATTCTGCTGCTTTCCTGATTTTACCTTTTTATGCTCACTGCTTTTATCCTGCTGTCTGGTATATTTGTATTGTATCATTTATATTCTTTGTTCTGACTTTTGTATTGTTTAGGATATATTGTATATTAGAGTTTACCTTTTGTATATTTAGGAAGATATAAAGGTTAACATTATATACCTTGTCTTCTCTTAATCTCATTCCCCAACATTTATGACCAGTCCTTGCACTTACAACCATCGCAGCATCCCCATAATCATGTGATCAAAATTCAGACACTTGGTTGGCAACCTTTCCTGGGGGAAGCAAAGTGAATGGGAGAAGCCAGATTCGCTTAAAGACCACATGATTTGCTTAACCATGATGATTTGCTGAACGACCATGGCAAAAAAAGTTGTAAAATCAGACATGATTCACTTAACTGAATCACTTAATGACAGAAGTTCCAGTCCGAACTGTGGTTGTAAATTAAGGACTATCTGCATTATGAGAAGCTAAACATTTTCCTCAACTACAATCAACCTTTGTTGTTACATGACAGCTTAGTACACTAAAAGAGTTTCTGAACCAAGCTACTAAAAAAGATTGATCAATAGCAATGAAACAGGAATGGGGAATACAGCAGAGTAAACATGCTTTTTTAAAATTAATACAAGGTACCACAAACAATTTTGTGTGCAGCTAGAATAAGTTTATCTGCTAAAGCATAAATCCCTAAAATAAGTGGATTTAAAATATTTTTCTACTTCTTTAAACAATTAAGAATGTCTGGTGATACTAGAGGGATTTAGAAAACAGATATGCTTTTAACTTGTTTTTATAGGAAAGCACTTTTAATAGACCAATGCAACTTCACTGCAATATCCCATTTAATACCCAATTTTAAATTAGAAATTAAACTTGTTCACTAGACAATGTCAGTACAACTTATTATATACTCACTCAGTCACCACTCACTTGGAACTCAATAAACCTCTTATATTTGTTTCCTGATTCAGAGGACAAAAACAGATTTCACAAGTACCTGGCAAGCTACCAAACCCTTGGTGGTGGGCTATATTTGCGATGTGCACTGCATATATTAAAATTCATATCAGAGCATTCACTTCCTACTATAAGTTAAAATGGTAGTTTTTAATTGAGAACTATCACATAAAAACAAAGTATCCTACCGTGGTTGGAAGTCGTATGTCAGTCCTTGCTCCAGCTTCTAGAAGTATTTGCACTACTTCTGCATTTGCAGCTTTCACAGCAAAGAACAGTACATACATAGGAAAGCTGGAAATATTTGGATCAGCACCTCTCTTTAGGAGCAGTTTGATTGTAGACTTTCTCTTTTTTTGTCTAAAATCCAACAGAAAATAGATCCATGTCAATACTTAAAAACTGAAAAGATTAGTATACATAATGCTACACAAGGAGATGACGTAATTCTACAACCAGATACTTCCAGGGAGTTGGATGGTTTCTCATATATGTATGATAGTACAAGTACCATAGTCTTTATGCCAAATGCTAGGAAGATATGTTTTTTTCCTTTTGCATGCTCTCTTAATTGGTGGGATACAGCAGCGAATGATGGTTTGCACGGTAGTCTCTAAATAAGAGATCCCAGCCTGCACAGAATATTATAAGCCTGTTTAAGGTAAAACTGGGCTTTGGTTGTATTTGTGGCATACTGGCATATGGAATATTGTAACTGGGAATGTAAAAAGGATATATAGTAAAGAGCATGACATGAAATGAGAGAAAGAAAAGCAAATACGATGTGTCTTATGATTTAAGAAAAAGAAGGATATAACTGATCTGATCTTGTGGAGTGGAGACAATAAATAATATCTGGGGAAGTGAAAGTATAGGTTTATTTACAAATTAAGAGGATAACATACATGCCAGAAAGTATGCATGTCATGTAGACTTTTGTGGGTGTATAAGAAAGTAGGACTCCACAGATTAATAATAGCTATGTATACTAGGTTCCACTGAATGGTGAAAATGAAAGAATCAGGGTGAGGGTTTTTTGGGGGGGTGGAACTGTGCAATATCCTGAATGAATATGATCCAGGGGAAAAATCATTCCATAAAAACATTGAATGGATGGGTGGAAGCAAGGAAAGAGAGAGTGCATAAAAAACGAATTGGTCATTTGGAGCCTAAGGAATAAATGAGAATGGTAACTGCTTAGAAAAAGGCATATTTGTTTGAAACACAAAAGCACTGTTTCATTATTCATTAAGCATTAGTCCATTAATGTGTAAATATGGCAAAGGAATGAAGATACATCTAAAAAAATGACTGATCTGATTGTTTATGATGAAAGATTAAGAGAATCACTGAAGGATACAAGAGTAATGAGAGGTTTTGAACATGAGCCAGAACTTTTTTTTTGGTAGAGTGGAACTAGGAAAAAAATGGACATGAAACTATAAAGGAGAAATGAAGGACACAAGAGTTGAAGTAGAACATTTCTAGTAGTATCAAGAGAGGAACTTTGGAAAAATGGACATGAAAGGAATGAAAAGCAGTGAAAGAAACTACAACAAAAGTAGAAAAACTGTAGGAAAAAGCAGCACAAGTACTAAATGAATGTGAAAAGATGTAAGGAAAGAGGATGTGGAAGCGGCTTGGAATAGAGCAAAAAGGGTCAACTACACAGTGCCACCGAAGTGTGCAGAATTATGCAAATGGAAAATATGGAAAAGGATTCTTAGTTGTATGGTAAAGTGAAAGAGGCTGTGGAATAATGTTTAAAAGAGAATATTTGCTGCAAAAGATAACAAAAGATATTGTTTAATGTGTATGTTGAGAAAAAAGATACTTGCAAAGAATGAAAGAGAGCAAGCAATGTTAAGATTTAAAAATACAGAAAATACAAAGTGATTTTGTTGGAAATAAAAAGTTGTTTTGGAAGTGAGTGAGGAAAGCTAAACCAAACCACTTGATGCTAAACTGGAACCATTAACTCAACCTGCTCAATATTTCACCACCATATTCACAGTTTGCATTAAGGGAGAATATGGATACATAACCAAGTAATCAAAAAGTTTTGCAGTTATTGGTAGCAAGTTTTTATAACATAGCATATTGCTTGGTTTTCAATCATATTATGAGAGTTCCCTCAATCTTTCTTCAGAGAAACACTTACTTCCAAAATGAAGTGTTAACTTTTCAATATTTGTTATCCATTCACAAAAAGGTCCAACAGAGACTGCCTTGACCATGGTACTGTTGATGATTAATCTGTGTTCTGCTAAAGTCACTTACTCTGTTAGTGATGCTGCCATTCTTCTTAAGGTGCCTTCATGATGAACAGCGTCCTCAGTGTCTGGTAAACAGTGAGTTGTTAGCATATGCTGGCTAAGAACAACTGCGCCACGATGCATAGTTTCTGGAGAAACCTTAATTTTGTAGTTGTAAATACCACAAATTGTCCCAGAGTTCTTTTCTCCACTGTCTGTTTCTTCCGATGACTTAATTTCAATGTCTGGGACAAATTCTGACTTTTCAGCTGAGAATGATAACACTCCAACTGATACTGGGGTGGTAGTAGCAGTACTTATTTCAGATACCTGAGATACCTCTGACTGTGATAATGGTATAGATTCTGTAGATACTTCTTCAAAGACGTCTTCTAACTTTATAAAGTAAAAAACATAAGATAATCACTTCTAAAAACTAACAACTATATCTTGACAGGAAAGCAATATATTATTAGGATATATTGTTAATGTTCACATACATATATCTCTATCACCAGGTTGTCACACAAAATCGTAAAGAAGTTAGGTAACATTCTACTAAAATTTTGCAAAGGTGGTTTCAAGAATGGATTTGCTTCTAAAAAATCATACATACTTTTAAAAAGAATTACAGTAACTACTGGCTGCACTTTTCATTATAAAACTAAAAGTGAGAGAAAGGATGCTCAGGGACCAATCACTATAGAGATACTCAAACCAGATCATTTAGGGATTTAAGATACCCTAAAGTAAATAATATAATCCACAGAAATAAACATTTTAAGCAAAGAACATTTGGAATTGTGGGTAACTCCATTCCTATGGTGGATATAGCTCGTCAACCAAATTAGATCTTCACTAGCAAATTTAATCTTCATTTGAGAGATGCCATTTCACAAAGACCCCAGACAATTCCAAAAGTCAAAAACAGCACTTTCCATTGAACTTAGAAGCACAATAGTAACCAGTATAGTGGGCTAATGCAAATCATGGGTATCCGTTTACATGCCTTGTACATGCCTCTTCATACCATACAATCAGGGCAATTCAATCAAGTGTATGCTTTCTGTACTGTAAATGAAAAGTGTGAAGCATGTTGCTGAACTGTATTTCAGATTTACAGATTATGAAGGACTGACCTCTTTTCTAAAGGTATTCCTTTCAGCAATATTGGGCTGAAATGCTTCTGCAGGGAAATAATGAATAATACACATGGACAAAGCTGATAATCCTTCATCACTGCATTTATTCACATCAGCTCCACTATCCAGAAGAAGGTTGATGATCTCATCTTGGTAATTCATCTGCACAAAAAACTATTTCAGTTATTTTCACAGAGAACAATTTTTAAAGCTCCAGTTTGTGCACAGTTTGAGTTTATGAATTTGATTCTGCCAATGAATATCTATAACAGGTTAATCACTCCCCATCTGGTGCTCCAAATATATTTGGATTATAATTCCAAGAATGCCTAGAGAACATGCTGGCTGGGAATTCTAGGTGTAATAATCCAACCGGTTCTCTAAAGTACCAAGCTGGGAAAGATTGGTCTACAATGATTGGCCAGTGACAGTCTATTCCTTAATATGCTGATCATGCTTTCAATTGCTATTGGCAAATAGCATAAATTCTTTCAACCCACTCAAGCAACCCAAGACTGTAATAACCATTGACTTGTTGCTAATACTCTTAATATGCTCAGAGTAATCAAGCTAGAGGTGATCTAATGACAAGAATTCTAGATTCAATTCAGTCTAGGTTCTAGCCTGATTACAAACAGATTACCAACAGAGCATCTTCAGTTACATCAGCCTTCCAGACACTTAAAATCATCAGGACATCCTGCTCTCATATTGCAGCCTACAGATTTTCAGCTGGTGGTTACAAAGATGACCCATCTCTGCAGTGCCACCTGCCCTATGAAGTAATGCAAGGCCCCAGTGCTGATCTATTTGAAGCATCTTTCAAACACTTTTGTTTTTATGTTGACGTTCCCTAGTCATTAACACCTGCTAATAGGTTTTTTAATGTATTATTTTTAACCTACTTTAATCTTGTTTCTGAAAGATTGAAGGCAAAAGGAGAAGAGGACGGCAGAGGATGAGATGGTTAGATAGTATCAC